TCGAAACTAATGAAAACTCATACTATTACGAGTATAATATTACCTATATATAGTTATTCTTTTCAATATAAACGATCTCGTAACTCCATGCCATTAATTTTTATATCATACATCTTAAAATGAGATATAAAATATAAAAACAAATTCTAAATACTTTTTTACCTAAAAAATCACCTATATGTACTTACAGCTAGGTGCTAAAACTTCTAAATTAGTATCAGACATTGGAACATCCTCACTATAAGGCACGGTAATAAGTAGATAATAATCGTGGTCCAGCCATCTAGAGTTGCTCATGATAACGCGTAGTACCATTGTCATATAACTCACATAGGTATAAGGCTTAAAATATTAAGTGATATCTGATGCGGCACTTACTTTTAGCCGCCCAAAACGATCCCCGGCGCAGCGCTTCCAGGTAAGTCTTCATGACGTCCCGGCACTGGACGGACAGCATGGATGCGGCCGGAAGTTCGACAGGGTTCCACCGGTGAGGGTTGTACACGTTCGACAGCCACTCCAGGTCGGAAGTGTGAAGTCCGCTGTCGGTCGCAGTGTCGTTGTCCGCCGCCGCCGCCGCTGATGCCATTCCAGGGGCCGAACCCGTCGCAGCGGCCATCATCATCACCATGGCCGACATCGCGTCCACCGCCTTGGCCGTCCTGTACACTTTCTGTATGTTGGTGGCCCCCGGCTTGCCAGTTAAAGTGCGGCCGGCCGACGGCGTGTATGCCGTCATGTCCTCCGACGACGGCGGCCGGGCAGTCAGCTCGTCCGCCATCAAAGATATGTCTTCGGAAAACATCATCCCTGCCTCTTCCGAATTTTGGCCGGCCGCTAACACGAAACAACACGTAACCGCCATCGCCACTACCGCCACTACCGCCGACATCGCTGATGCTGTTTTGGCCATCTTTTCGATGGTTGCGTACCGGACACCCGAACGCTTCTGCAAGCTAACTCAGTCGACGTCGTCGCCGTGGTCGTCACGTGTTCCTCTGCTCCCACCCTAAAACACCGTCGCTGTCGTCGTCGTCGTCGTCGTAATACAAGAGCTTGATCTTCACGTGCGTATGACGGTGATGGTAGCGGTGGTGGTAGTGGCCGTGGTGGTTGTGGTGGTGCAGGTCGGCCCGACACGGATGACGAACACCTTTCACCTATAATCCGCGAGCGCGAAAGTGAAAATACTGGACGACCGGTTGTTTGATGGTCAAAACAAAAAATTTACTATATTGTTTAAACCCTTTTAGAAAATAATATATAAGTAGGTAATATATGTTATAATGTTATGGAAAGAGATTCGTATCAATTTTAGTGTGATTGCATGTATAGATACTCCACAATGTATTTATGTAATTCCAATTGATAGATCATGAATGAGTAAGCAGAAATATGAGATGATTAAATTATAAATATTTCAACTAAAAAATTGTTAAATACATTTTATTCTAAGCCGACACACGTGACTAATTATGAACTTGAAATGCTTATTTCAACTAAATTTGTCGATCTTGGAGCTAATTATTAATTAGTAATTTTATACAACTTAATCTAAAGTAATCATTAAATAAATAATTATTTATTCCATGTGAACCACATGAGATCTGCAACAAATGACTGGTGAACGCAAAAGTAGTCGCTGTACCCTTCCAAGCTGCAACGAGTCATCCGCAGTATGAGGATCTCACACAAATACACAATAGGCAATAGCACCATACTCGAGTTTGAGATTCACCAGTGCACAGAAAGTGCCTTAATAGACATTCCAGAATGCAAATCGTCGGAAAATCTCATTATGAAACCCTTAAAACAAATATAATTAAATGCGGGTACTCGTATTAAGAGTTAAGATCACTGGCGCTGTGGTTGAATTTAAATCCTAGGTCCATGACACCATCATCTGATCTGCAACAACCATAATAATAGTGACTCGTCGAGACGGTAAGAGAAAACCATTGAAGAACGAGTCTTATTAAAAGTCGGTAACTGACATTTTGAAAAATGTAGGGATAAACCTAACCCAACTACCCAAACCAATTAGAAAAGGTATTTAAATCGTCTTGTATATACATAAGCTATGATAAAGAATGATAAAATAATTTTTACCATCTATTAATTGTTATAAAAAAAATTGTTGATACGGTTTACATTGCTTACAATGACATTTAGTGCAATTATTGATTTAGAAAATCGTTCATAGCATGTATATAGGCACCTATACAGTGGTACATAACTGGTCAGTAAGTAATATTCCATTACATATTATCATCACAATGGGTGCAAAAAAAAGTTCAAAAACCTTTGATCCAGATACATAAAATAATGTTAGATAAGTTAATTTTTCTAGAGATCCGTGAAGAAATGACTCCTAAGTCTACACACACAAGACACATTGGCAATTTTGTAACATTTTGTGAAAAACATTGTCAATAACATATTATGCTTATAATTTATTAAACAGTTAGTACATAATTATGTATTTTGCAGTTGTATTCAGTAGGTATTTTGTACTAGGTACATTTCGTACGTAGTATTTATATTGATTGAACATTTTAGAGCGATATATGTATTGATTTTACAATGATGTGTGTTGTTTTTTTATTTGTGCCTATCGTCATACCTTTTGGGACTGTCAAATTACACTAGGAAAGCGAAACTAATTGGTAGTTTGGGGGGAAGGGGTGAAATAGTATTCAAAAGCATCAGGAAAAACAAACACGAAATTAAGGAAAACTGAGATTTTTACGCAAAACCAGTTTTTTTTTTTAAGTAAAAAAATAGATTTAGATACCTACATGGTCATTTTCACTAAATATATTTATATTAGAAATGTCTATGTACCATACAATTTTCGAAATATTGCGACTGTTTGTGAGCTATTAATAGGAATTAGAAAATATCAAGTTTTTTATTTGCTTTTTTAAACTATTGTCGAGAAAAAATTTTTGCTTGGTCAAAAAACTTGAAAATTTAATACGTTTCTCATAAGTAGTTGTTAGAGTTAGTTCAAATGTTGACAAAATGTATCAAAATCTCGAACATTTTCAAATTATTTTGTAGTTAAAAATTATAAAATGTTCAATTTTTATGGCTCAAAATTGAAAATTCAAAACAAGGATTTTAATAAATAGTTTTTACTGTAACCAAAAAATCTAAAAAAATTATGAACACAGTTATTTTGTATAGACATTTTATGTTCGATTTTGGGCGAAATTATATACCTACTAAATAAAAGAATATAGGCCTCGTTGTTAGAGGATTTCTATACTCTGAGTTACATCAATTCATCACTTGTAACCTATATTGATTTCACTGGGCATCGATTAGATATATTATGCTCGATATGGTCACAATGGTGCATAACTTTATCTAGGCAAAAATTGAAGGTTGCGGCTTGAAAAAATAACAAAACAAAAAAAATGAACCCCTTCAAACAAACTAAGTGGCTGATGATTAATAAGTCTTTTATTCACCTACCCTATCTTTCATATTTCTTTAAAGTTATAACTAGTTCACAAATACCAATAAAATACAAATTGCACGAAATTTCTGAAAGGTAGTTCAGTAGTTCACACATACATTTAGTATCAGCTCACGAGAAAATTTTTTTTGATTATTTATAGGATTGCCATTTATCAAATATTATTACATTAGCTGGTAGCTGGTAAATACTATTATTGCATATACATTGTCTAAAACGCTTTCATCCATGTTATTCATTACTTATTAGCTGGTATTGAATGTTTTTTGCAATTCCTCTACTTTTAAGCCACGATTTATCAACTGACGCTATAAAGATTGTGCAAAATGAAAGAGACTATTCCAGTAAATGTGACTCATTAAATGTAGTTATTAACGCATTATGCAAAGGCTGAGCAATTTAACATTTTTTCTAAACTCGTTATGTTAAGTTAATATGAGAAGAAGTAAGTTAATCTAAAAGTACCTGATAATTCAGGGGAGGGGTTGATACATTTATGTAAATTATAATAATAAGTCCAATGTTCTTTTCATAATATATGACAATTAAATAAATAGTAAATATAATATGCGGGCAAAATAACAGCCTACTGGCAGCCTTTTTCACGAGCACCAGCAAATGACATTATTCGTAAATTTATAATAATACACTAATATAGTAATACCAAGAAGCATATAACTCGTGTGTCGTGTTGAATATACTACTTTTATGCTAGATACTATACATAATATAATAAAGAGTAAAGACATATAGTATATAGACATATAGTAATAGGTAGCCAGGTAGGTATCCCTATGACTATATCTATTCTGACTATATTATTATATCAACAGAAATCATTAATCACAAACTAATAAATAATAATTCTACATTTCCTGTATATTATTCTTGGACATCTCCATGAAATGAACTATGATACCTAAATAATATTTCATAAAGCAACAAAATTATAGATAAATGGTTATTGATTAATATACAATTAAAAATTTAACTAATTTGAATAAATCTATATGAAATCAACTTGAAGTTAACACATTAAATGAAAAATATGTTAAAAATGTTACTAATTAGGTTGAAAATTAGTTTTAAAAAAAAGGAAAGGGTTGTACACTTAAACTGTTTGCTGTCTCATAATAAATTACATACTGAAAAGTGAAAATTGAGGATTTATAGTCAAGTTATGTGGTCCTATGGTATATCGTTCTGCTGAATTTTCGAGTTCTCTGTTCTTGATAAATTAAACTAACATAATATATTATGTTCATTCGGTTTTATAAGCAATCAAACTATACTCGAATGTTTTCTACTGTTGAAAATGTAGGGGCTATTATTCACACTAGGACTACCACTGAAACAACCATGGTACAACTACTGTTTTGAAAGCATTAAAAAAAACATTTCGGAGACCGTTTTAGAAGGTAAAAATAAATAATATAATTACAAACCTAGATGGCGCTGTCAGTTATTTTAACGACACAAATTTAATACGCTTATCACCATATGGTATCTTATATTATCTTAACCGCGGACTTACAGTTTACTCTCAAAAATCAAAACAATCAAAAATTCAAAATTCAAAACATTACCATCCGGCCATAGAGGCATAGAATATAGAATATAGTCCGGCATTCCGACGTTGTTCGTAGTGTTTGCTGCATATTTATTTTTTTTTAATGATTTTATTATAAACTGACACACATCTGATGAATCTGATGTACACTGTACGGTTGTACCTTAGTAATAATAACTAGCAGTTCGTAATAGTTGTAGGTCTATCTAATGTTATACTTATTGGGACTTATCTCATACCTAAATAACAGGACCTGTACCTAAACAGCTTTTACCCACTAAACTGTTTTAATCGAAAAATAAAATAATTTTTACGCAGCAGTAATTATGGATGCAGAAGTGGATTCTGCTTGGATATGTACACAAGCCGTCGTAAGTACTGACAGTCAATCGGACAATGAACAAGAAAAAATTAACAATGTGAGTACCTACCCCTTATATTATATATTTTAATTAAAATTAATGGTGGGAGGAGAGGTGTAACTTACAATATTTTGAATCAACAGGTTAGTCATAGATACTGCTTTTACAGTGTTGAATGGTATAATTAATATTATATTTAAATTAATTACAAATGTATGCATAATATAATTCATCTTATGATAAATATAAAGTTATTTATTGGGCTCCTTTACTCATAGCCGTAAAGAGATGGCCTAGGGGCTAAGCCTCCCTAACACTTCCTACATTTTTCTAAGCTTGTTCAATATTATTATAGAAGGACTTAAGCTCTCCCCCCCCCCAAACCTCAAACACTATTTGTGCCAATACTTAAATAACTTAATAAGATAGTTACAATAGCATTTACTCATCATTGTTTTTAATTAGTATGGCTGCATTTTCCTAAATGATATGATTGACAATGGACGTTATGTGCTGAAAGAAGGTGATAATACAATTGGACGACATCCTTTAAATCATATATACATTGATCATCCGGTAAGAATAGTTTTGTTTTTGATCTAGATGAATTGCCACTTGTTTGTTTTTAGGATAGTCAAGGGGTCTTATTATGTTATAATGTTTGATAAAGTTAAAATGTAAGCATTTTTAAAATCTAATTTTGGTGATTGAATGTTCAAATATATTTAAAAATTGTAAGTAATATCTAAATAAGACAAGAAAATTTAGAATTCAAACTTATTTTCAAAATCTGTTGTAATAAAATTAGATGGTATTCAGAAAAAAAATAGGTCTGTTTAGCATGAAAAACAGTCTGTTTCAAATCCCACTAAGTATAATTTAAAATGTCCTTCAAGCTGGTGGCAATATTGATTGATTGTGTACTTTTATATTTACATTTTGTAATATTATTTAATATTTTTTGTTTTTCATATTTTACTATTAGTCAGTATCGATGAACCATGCTGTTATTCAATGTGATTCTGATGGTGTTGTTCTGTTAGATAAAGGAAGTTTAAATAAAACTAAACTTAATAAGGTATTCATAATAATTAGTATTTATAGTTTATACATTATCCCTGCAGTTAATTATAAATATTTTCAACATATTCATAGAAAACCTTGAGGAAAGATGTTGCTTATTTTCTTGAAGAAAATGCTTTATTGGTGTTTGGAGAAGTCCGAGCTAATTATTGTATGAATGAAGAATCTAATGAATTCACAAATGATACCAAATCAAGGGGTAATTTAAAAAAATTATAGATAATACATTAATACACAAATATACATTCTAATGTATGTTTCTTCTTATTTTCATAATTTTTACTTTTGTAGCACCTCATAACACTTCTGTTGACGAAAAAACTCAAAATGATGGGCTTTCCTTATCAAAATTGTCTAATGCTGTAAGATTGTATATTTTATTATTTCAATAATCTTACATTTTAATTTATTTATTCTTTTCAGGCCATTACTCCCAAATCTGTTAGTACTGACATACCTAATGTAATTACTGATTGTAATTTATCATTAGTAATTGAAAATAGTTCTTCATGCAAGATAGAAAAAGAAGTTCCCAAAACCGTTATTGGAACTGAATGTGCTATGAATACTATTAATGATATACACACACAATTAAATTCTTCTAGTCCAAGTGATGAATATTTATTAGAGACTCTTAGCCAAGTAGAAGCAAAACAAAATTCTAATGGAATTTTTCACAATTTATCAAATGAAGATACTACTGTAATGAATCTAACAGAATCTGTTCCCGAGATAACACAAGAAGATTGTCCCAGTCCTGTAATGGATCTTAAGAGTTCTATTTTAACTACAAGCAATGTAGCGAACAATCAATTTGTATCACCTAACAAAATTAATACAGAAGCGATGCGAGAAGATACTCCTAGCCCCGTAATGGATCTTAAAAATTCCATTATAACTACAAACAATATATCAACAATTATGTTTCAGTCTCCCAGCCAAATAAAAACAAAATTAAACAGAGAAGATACTCCTAGTCCAATAATGGATTTGGGATGTTATGATGATTTTGGAAATAACCTTGAAACCATTAATTATGGTATTTCAGCCATTCAGTCTCCAAATAAAGTCGATGAATTTGACAATACTCAGGTTCTGGAAATTGATAACAATATTGTAGAATTGTACACAAAGACCTCAAACAATGATGATATTTTATTTTACAAAGCCCAGAAAGTTAAATCTAGTAAACAATCAAATACTCAAATTCAAAATTCTTCAGACATTCAGAGTAATGACAATTTATCAAATTCAAAAAATATTAACTTAGATACAAAATGCAATGAAAAACCAACAAAACACTTTTGTAGAAAAAATGAAATTCAAAATGATAATTTTAATAGTGATACTTCCCAAAATACATCCATGCTAACATCTTTTCGTTTAATAACAGCCACTGATGGTCATAATAATGATGAACATAAAAGAATTATTAATACTTTTGAAGCAGATGATGATGAAGTATTTAGAAATTTTATTGAAAATGAATGTAAATCTCAGCAACATGATTTGGCAAAACTAGAAAATCAAGATTTTTTTAACTGCCCCACTCAAAAGATATCAATTAATAAAAATAGAAATATAAAATCAAAATTAAGTTCTTCAGTACATGATGAAGAAACACACAAACCTCCAGAGTTCAAACAACCTAATAAAATGAATACTATTACTTCTAAGATCTATACCACCAGTATACAAGAAGAAAACATTCAGATTCCTGAAATAGAAGATGATTTTTTCAACTGTCCTACTCAAAAATTACCAATTACTAAAAAGATACAACCAGAACCAAAGGTACCTTCTTCCATATATGAAGAAGAAACGCAAATACCTTTGGAGCTTAAAAAACTCAATAAAATAGATACTATTACTTCTAAGAACTATAACACCAATATACACGAAGAAAACACTCAGATTCCTGAAATGGATGATGATTTTTTCAACTGTCCTACTCAAAAACTATCAATTTCAAAAATAATACCACCAAAACCAAAAGTATCTTCTTCCATATATGAAGAAGAAACGCAAATACCTTTGGAGCTTAAAAAACTCAATAAAATAGATACTATTACTTCTAAGAACTATAACACCAATATACATGAAGAAAACACTCAGATTCCTGAAATGGATGATGATTTTTTCAACTGTCCTACTCAAAAATTATCAATTTCAAAAATAATACCACCAAAACCAAAAGTATCTTCTTCCATACACGAAGAAGAAACGCAAATACCTGTGGAGCTTAAAAAACTCAATAAAATAGATACTATTACTTCTAAGAACTATAACACCAATATACAAGAAGACAACACTCAGATTTCTGAAATGGATGATGATTTTTTCAACTGTCCTACTCAAAAAGTATCAATTTCAAAAATAATACCACCAAAACCAAAAGTATCTTCTTCCATACACGAAGAAGAAACGCAAATACCTGTGGAGCTTAAAAAACTCAATAAAATAGATACTATTACTTCTAAGAACTATAACACCAATATACAAGAAGACAACACTCAGATTTCTGAAATGGATGATGATTTTTTCAACTGTCCTACTCAAAAAGTATCAATTTCAAAAATAATACCACCAAAACCAAAAGTATCTTCTTCCATACACGAAGAAGAAACGCAAATACCTGTGGAGCTTAAAAAACTCAATAAAATAGATACTATTACTTCTAAGAACTATAACACCAATATACAAGAAGACAACACTCAGATTTCTGAAATGGATGATGATTTTTTCAACTGTCCTACTCAAAAAGTATCAATTTCAAAAATAATACCACCAAAACCAAAAGTATCTTCTTCCATACACGAAGAAGAAACGCAAATACCTGTGGAGCTTAAAAAACTCAATAAAATAGATACTATTACTTCTAAGAACTATAACACCAATATACAAGAAGACAACACTCAGATTTCTGAAATGGATGATGATTTTTTCAACTGTCCTACTCAAAAAGTATCAATTTCAAAAATAATACCACCAAAACCAAAAGTATCTTCTTCCATACACGAAGAAGAAACGCAAATACCTGTGGAGCTTAAAAAACTCAATAAAATAGATACTATTACTTCTAAGAACTATAACACCAATATACACGAAGAAAACACTCAGATTCCTGAAATGGATGATGATTTTTTCAACTGTCCTACTCAAAAATTATCAATTTCTAAAAAGATACAACCAATACTAAAAGTATCTTCTTCCATACACGAAGAGGAAACACAGAAACCTCTAGAATTTTCACAATTCGATAAAACAAATTACATCACTTCCAACACCATTAATATTCAACAGAATAAAGGAAACATTGTCAATTGTACAACACAAAAATGTCAGTCAAATTCTATTTCAAATTGTTCTATAAACATTGATGAAGATGTCACCATGAATCCTGAATATTTTGGTAAGTACCATGATTCCAGTTAAACAATATACCTATTGATCCAAATTTAATTTATATTATGTTTTTATTTTGTTTCAGATGTATCAAATAATCATAAACAAATTGTTGAACCTGTCAAAGAAGACAGATGTAAGGTTCAAAAATCAAAGTGTGTCAAATCAACAATTAAACTATCAAATGTCCAACTACCAGTTAATTGTAATGAAAAATCATCAAATAGTTTAAAAATTAATAAACCCAAAATTCGGGTTAGAGAAGATTTACATATGTCCTGTTCTGGTGATTCAAGCAATAATTTCCCAAACATCCTAAATAAACCTAATGAAAATGCTGTATCAAATAATATAAATACTACAGTGCCTTTTGATAAAAACTTTGATTCGCCTGGTTGTTCAAATACTACTACTATAAAAAAAAATGATTTAAACGCATCATCATCTACTAAGCAAAAACATTTTACTGATGATTCTGTACAATCTCAAGTAACTGTTTCCCTTAAATATAAACACCAAATGAAACGAATGGATGAATCCATATTTAGTCCATTAAATATACCTGATGTAAGTGCAAACTCATTGTTAGAACATCATTCATCTCCAAAAACCACTGAGAATAAATTAAATACCTTAAACTGTGAACCATCTACTTCTTGTAATGATGCTATTAAATGGAAATCATTTTGGAATAAGAAAAAAGTGCAAAGTCAGGGTAAAGGAATAAGTGATAAACAAAAAAGTATTAAATTCGCTACCGAAGTTAAGGAAAATAAAGAACGGTACCAGACAAGAGCAATAACTAGAAAACGAAAGCAAAATGGTGTTGTTGAAAGCAACAAAAAAATATGCAGCAGGAATAAAATATTAGAACCATTGGTGAGTTTTATAATGTATATATATTCTATATAAGTATCCTCAATAAATATTTTTTGAGAGTGGCATCATCAAAATTAGATATTTCAGTCTTTTAAATAGAAAACATATATGTATATTTAAAAATTGAATACAAGGTGTTGCTCGCAAGTTACTGATAGTGGAAATTAAAAAAAAAAATTTGAGAGTAAGTTTACAATAATTTTTTATGAGCATTTGTATTTAGAATTTTGGCTAAATTTGTAAAAACTACAAAAATTTACAAATTATTTTGAGTTAGAAATTCATAAAAAAAATTTGTTATTATACCAAATTCTGAAATTTAATAGAAGATTCCTTAGAAGTTTGTCTACCTTTATCAAAATAAAAAATTCTACCGGAAATTCAAATTAAAGTTTTTATGATGGTTTGAGTTGAAATTTTTCATCATTGGATATTCACTTCATTTCTCATGTAACAATTTTCTTATTTTGTTGCAAGTCAAAAAACGAAAAACTGTAGGTACTTAAATTTACACCATACATTTATTTTACCAGTTCATATACTTGATAACATTTTGACTCGTTTTGAGCTGTTAACAGACATTTTTAATTTTCAATTTTTTTAGTTTTTTGTTTCTATAAATGTCAATAAAATTTTATTTGTTTGGTCAAAAAGCTTGAAAATTTAATGCTCCTGATATGTATTTACAATATGAGTTGAAAAATATCAAAAATATATAGGTAAGATTTTGTTTTTGTCAAATTTATCAAATTGAAAATATACAAATTATTTTGTAGTTAAATATTTATAAAATGTCCATCATGTTATCATCGGTTCAAATTGTGTATTAGAATGTTTCTATGACTGTATTGTCAGTATTATCTTTTAACTGCCTTAATTTTTGCATCTCTTAATATACTTAACTGCTTCAGTTATAGTATAGGGTGTTTCATAAACACGGACAAAAACTATTTAGGGATAATTTTGTTAAAGAAGTTTTATCGAATAAAAATGTACTTATTAATCAGCTTCTATATATACTCCTAAATAAGTGTGAAATACAATATTGTACGTGTGTGCACCCTGGCTGCGATGACTGAACAGTATTTTTCCCATGTTTATAATGCATTTGAGTACTAAAATGTCTAAAATGTATTCCTCAGCATAAAGATGCATCATGATTCATGATTAACACAATACACCTGATCTAGTAAACCTTTAAAAATCTCAAATGGAATGGATATAATATAACGGATAACAACAAAAATAAAATCAGAGCTGTCATGAAAACAAAAAAAAATACCACCCACTTAAATTCTGTCCATGTTTATGAAACACACTATATTTGTAATCAATATTTTACTAATTTAGTAGATTATATATTTATATCATACTACTATATAAAATAGAACCCCCATTTTTGTATAACTCAAAAAGTACACAACAGATTTTAGTACAGTTTTCACTAATCAATAGGTTTAGATTCAGGGAAGGTTTTAATATACAATTTATTCGTATAACTTGATTAATAAAATAAAAAAATTATTTGTGTCATACATCCGTATATACTTAAATAGCATAAAATTATCCCCCCGCTCACAGATTTTTCTTGCGCTGTGGCACTATAATCCTTACTGGCTGTGGAGCTGTCTTAGTTAAAGAATACAAATGATACCAACCGATTTGCCATTCCAGTTCAAATGGCTCCAATTTCCCATGAAATTAAGCTTTGCAAAGACTATAAGGTACGAGGTCAAACATTAAACGTTGCAGGTTTAGACTTAACTGCCCAGTGTTTTTCTTATGGTCAATAGTACGTAGCTCTGTGCACATGTCGCATGCAAACAAAATCTATTTGTGCTGGCTCTAGAAGCGAGACACTTGAAGTGATGTATTCAGAAATATTTAATGCTTAAGACAAATTGATAAAATTGACACAAAAATAAAAATCATAAAAATATATTTTACACTTGTATATAAAATTATACTAAAAATATTAATCAAATTAAATTTATGATATAATTCATATCAAACTTTTCACATAATCCTAAACATATAAATGTACTGAAATCTAGCAATAGCAAAGCATAGCCGGGTCAGCTAGTCTATATATATATATATTACAATTTGGTTTTGTTTTACTATTTAAAATGTACATTTAACAAATAATTTGAACAAGCTATATTTTTTGTAATTTTAGGTTGAAAATTCATCAGAAATTGTTGTTAGTTTTAGTTATCTGAAGAGTCGTCACCTACAAGAAATGAAACAATTTGTTGACCAAACAGGTATATTAATACTTGGCCCAAATAAATATGAATTGTATTTTTTAAAGCTAAATACTATATTGTTCTTAGGTGGTACGGTTACAGATGAGATTACACAATGTTCAGTATTGGTAACAGACAAGATACGGTGCACAATGAAAATACTGTCGGCAATAGCCAGAGGATGTCCAATTGTCAATGTCAATTGGCTCAAACACTCTTACACTGTTAAAATGTTTCAAGGTTTTTTTTCTTGCATGTTCATTATAGTCAACTGTGTATAATATAATAATACTAAACATTTTTATAGACTTTGACGATTTTATAATTGTGGATAAAGATGCAGAAAGAAAATACAAGTTTCAGTTAAAAGAATCACTGGCCAAAGCCAAGGCCAAGAGACTCTTAGATGGATATAATGTATTGGTTACTCCATCAGTGAAACCTGGTCCCCAAGAAATGAAAGGTACTTTTTTGCCTATTGTAGCGATCTTGTTAATTGTTACTTATAATTAAAGACCAGATATTTATGCACTGTTATTGGTATGCACTTATAATGAATGTAAATATATGCAAAAAATAATATGAAATATTCAGTATACAATTAAATTGTTTTTATCTACGAGGACACAATTATACCCGGATGTGTTTTTATCCGTCTTACAAGCGTACACCATAGCACATTTTACGTTTAAAATAATCCATTTTACTATGTTGTTTTTAAAATTACAAGTGCACTGACCTATTATACAATTTAAAGGTAAGCTTATTACTCTAGACATTTCTAAGGCTCTTATTTATATTTTAATATTACAAAGCAAATTATGGCATTTAAAAACTGTGCATTTTTGGAAATTTTAAAATAATCTTAACTTACTTTAAAATTAAAATATCAATAAAAGCCTCTCTAGATCAGGGGTGCAAAGTAAATACTATTGGATTCCTTAAGATATAAAAATAAATAAATGAGTTCTAAAGAAAAAAAATTGTTGATAAATCCATATATTTATATAATAGCAATATGGAGACAAAAAATTGTGAGATATGTTGATGGTCCAATTCTCTGCTTTCTGCCATCCGCCTACTGTTGCCCTAGATAATAATCTCAAGTTTAAATTGTATAGTGGATCAATTTACTCTAATTTTAAAAATAACAGTGAAATAAATAATTGTGAATGTTAAATTTGTTGAAGGCAAGATCGGGTTAAACATTTTATTTATGCAGAATTAATTAACAGATTTTGATAATCTAAGATGATACTAAATGATAAAATGTCTATGCATTTGAAAAATCAATTAGATTAAATTTATATTTTTAAATTTTTAGTGATTACTTAAAATTGTATATCTATAATATGCAAAAAAATTGAATTTTGTATATTAAGTACTAACACCCAAAATGAAAAAAAAATATGCAATATAAAATGTTGCTATTTTATTAATCAAGTAATGATTTAAGAAAATGTATTGACTGTATGTATATGATGTAGAAAATAGCAGCATGCATTTTATGCGAAATCCGGTCTTAACTTATAATGTATGTAGACATGTAGTGTATTACCAAGGTTAGTACAACATGTTGATATTTTAATGACACTTGATTTTGGTTTTCAGTAATCATAACATGTGCTGGCGGCAATTATGTCTTAAACTGGACAACGAAACAATATTCAAAGGAGTTGATTGTGACGTGCGATAAAGACCGTACTCGATGGAAGTCAGCATGGGATAATGAATTCGCCAAAATAATTGACAGCGACACCCTTGTAATGTCCATTATTAGACAAAAATTGACTATTTAATGATGATGTTATAGGTTACTTCTTATTAAAAGCTGTATAAAATGAAATGTGTAAAGTCACTTGTTAATCTTCTCAAAATAAATATGATCTTATATTATATTTCAACCAATTTCATCGGTACTAGTGAAATCTCTTTATAGTCGACATTCATAAGAAATTTAAAAATGTCCACTATAGGGATGTGCTCCAGATAAAAATTTTAATGTACAAAACTCATGAACATATAAACAAAAAGTTGTACAAGATCAAAAGAGATTAAAATGTATACTTTTTGTAATTTATAAAAGTTGTTATTATTTATATGTATTTATTAGTTATTATTTATATGTATTTATTAATTACTACAAATACGCTTGTTATAAAAAAAAGTGGGTAATTATTCATTTATTATGTATTTTCCACAATTAAAAAAATCAATATTTTTTTAGTAATTGTTTTCACTTCCATGTTTGTATAATTATGATAAGAAACAACACATCGAAGATTTGATTAATGATTCCACAAATTTAACTTTTCGCCTTTCGGGGGTTACAAACAAATGAACAAAATGATTCTTATGATCAAAAGATTCACTAAATCAGTTCATCAAAGTAAACATGTCCTATCTTGACAACTCAACATTGTATTCTTCAGTTCATACATCATTATGATACTACAAACCTTAACTAAAAAATATATATAATTATATTTTCAATTTCAGTTAGGTATATATATTTTTTTTTAATACAGATATAAAATCTCATTTTTTTAATAATTTATCCATTATTTATGTGTCTATATCTTGTAACTAATGTACCTACTACCTTATACATAAAATATATACAGATTTTAACAAGTAAATGCAATTTTTAACAGTTATATGGCTTATAAGTTTGAAAAAATTTACAACTGATATTAATTTATATACGTTTTAGAAACTACCTTTAAAACAAAAATATCACGAATAATTGTTGTTGAACATATAATTAAAAGTATTAAACCGTATTCAGCATTAATTATTACATCTGAATATCATTAGAAATGCATATGACTTGGATCATGTGTTACTATATCAGCATGGTACGATGTGACTTATTATTTAGGTAGGTACTTAATTTAACAACTTTGTTGGCATTAAATAATTCAAATTGGTCTAGTAAATTCATGTGTACCTAACTAAAAAAAATGTTCATGATTTTTTTTTTTTAAATACTACCTATTTTAAGAAATACCCACAGCGACCTCTGCAAAGTATAAACTATACTTGTAGTACTTTTTTTGTATGGTAAGTTTTTAAAATATAAAACAATAAATATAGGTAGGTACGAGGGAAGCGATACATTTTTTTTCCCCGCGTCACTTACCTTTATGTGAGAGCCTTAGTTAGGTACTTACATGGCTGTATACATATTATATTATTTATTACACTATAGTGTAGTAGTATAACCACAACATTTTGTAGCAAATACATCGGTGATCGGTGACAGCACACTATTATAGAATAATATTGTTTAATTACATATTAATGCCGAGCCCAGAGAGAATATTATAGGCACGATTAAAGTATCCATTTTTTTATTACTTCTGTAAATTTCAAAGCCTAATTTTGAATTTTTTTCAAGTCTCGACACTTCTAGAGTTTTATGTTTAGTTATATTTTAACCGTTAAGACTAAAAACAATATTGTTAGATGCCGGACGTAAAAATTGACTCGCGACGGTAGTGTATCTAAAAATCTGAATGCCCTATAGTCTATACCTAGTCCGAGTGCCGCGTTCTGCATTGTATTGATTTAAACACTACCAATAATATTCTGTTGCGGAATTTGAAATAAAAATGTATCGTGTAATCCAAAGAAGTCAAAAACTCGAAAACTGATGACAACATATTATATTACAATATCTATCATCTATGGCAAAAGCCGACTGTCGTCACTCACCGGAGACGATTCGCAATTCTAATAATTTCATTGAACAAAAAAGAAATGTGTATGGCAACAATAAACATTTACTCACATATTTCATTCTACTCAAGTAATTTTTATAAAAAATTTCGATTTTTTTCAATTAGGATTTAGATGAAGGAAGAAGTTCCACGATATGGCGTCTGCACTCAAGATATGGCGCCTTGCAGCTATATATTACCCGAAGAGTCGATGTACATGTAAGTTTGATCACTTATTCTTTTGAGGCTTGAATATTTTACTATTTAGTCTCAAAATTAAAATTTATTGCCACAGACAATTTGCTACCCGGGTGAAATAGGTGCATATTTTTTGTTCCCGAGCGCGCAACACAAAAAAATACGGTATCACAAACGACGACGGCATATCCAGGTCGCAGAATAATAACTTATTTGTAAAATTAAATAGATATAAATAGTGTTGTAAATACTAGTCATATTACAGTAGTACAGTACACGGGAATTTTTATGTCCCTCAAAATTCAACAATTTTTATTTTTAGTTTATATAAATGTTGAATAATATATGAATATTACTATGTCGTCTGCTTGTGGTCGAACCGCGAATTAAAGTGACGCCGTCGTACATCAAACATCAAATTATTTTATAAAGCTGGGAAATTCAGTCTGCTGATTATTGAATATCTATCGAAAATTAAATAAGGAAATTTTAAATTTTAAATAATCTCGAATAGCTTAAAATGTACCTAACAAATGCACTCTAAACTAATACATAAAATATTAGATATTAATTTCGTCAAAGTAGTTGCAAAGACGCAATCGATCTAAAATTTCAGTCAGCAAAGCAAAATTTAAGTTCAGTCATAGGTATCTGGTTTATTCCGCAGTGCACACACAATAATCAGGGATTCTGTCGGAGCCCGAAAGCGTCGATGTTTCAAGTAATTAATTTTGGTTTCATATTTTTTTGGTGGTTAAATTAACTTTTTATACTTTACATAAAAATTTAATTTCATGAAAAATATGCTACCCCTATGTAGACACATATTTTATTTCTGAGAGTAAATGCATAAAATACAAGAGATAAAATAATATACAAACGCGGCTCGTCGTCGTCGTTTTTCTGCTCCCTGATCGTAGGGTATAGTTTAATAATTATAACCTATTTTTAAGTACTTGAAATAGACATACATTATATGATTTAATTTAGAAATATCCGTTATAAGTGATTACTCATACGACACAATTTTAATTTAGAACTTGTAAATTTTTTCAAATCCAAAGTTAGCAGTTGCAGTACACTATTAATTTAGTGTTATATATATTTCATTGTTCTATTATATTATATTAATATTACATTATATTATAGTTGTATCTAAAAAAACAATTATCCTAAATCTGGAAATGTGAATATAGTATCGGTACTTCGAGGGGTCCAAATAAAAAAATTCTCAATTGTTTTCAAAGGCGGCAGGAAAAACAAACAAAAAATTAAGGAAAAAAGTGAATTTATAGGAGAAACCCGGTTTCGACCAAATCGATTTTGGTTGTTGATGTAACTCTCAACAACAACAAAAATACCGTGGATGTACATGACATTTTTATTGAATACTTATAACGGCGTTTTCTATAAACCATACAATTTTGACAACACATTTTTATAAGCGTTTGAGTTTTGAATTTTGACAAAATTAGTATAAGTCACGAAAATGTGCAAAATATTTTGAGTTAGAAATTCATAAACATTTTTCGTTTTATATCTAAGTTTTTAAAACTTAATACAAGATCTTTATAAGTTTGTGTCTACCTTTATCAATAAAAAAAAGTTCTACCGAAAAGTCAAATTAAATTTTTATGAGCATTTGAAGTTGACATTTTGACAACATTGAATATTCACTCCATTTCTCATATAGGTAGTGATTTTTACTTATTTTTTTGTAACTGAAAACCCAATAATTGCAGATATTTGAAATTCACACCATTTTTTTATATTTTCAATTCATATACTTTTGATGTACTAGTTTTGAGCAGTTTACAAACAATTTGAATTTTGAATTTTTTTAGTTTATTTATTTATTTTGAGGGTCGTTCCGTACGAGGGGCATTCCGTTGGTGTTTGGTTGTTCATAAGGTGTCCATGAGTGAGGAGGGTGTGACCGATTCTTAGTCGGATTATTATTTCTGTTTTTCTGGTAGTTTTTTTTCGTGGTCAGGGATTTATATTTTGTTTTATTTCTCGTAATTTGTTTTTTTGGTTTACCCTGTGGTTTTGCCATATGTTCCGTGTTAAAATATTTAAATGATTTTTTGTGTCTTTTATTGTGTTGTATTTTTGTTTGGGAGCTTCGGATGTTATTGCATTTTTTGCGTGTTGGTCTGCTAGTTCGTTCCCGTTTATTTTACAATGACCTGGTGTCCATATGAATTTGATAATTTTGTATGAACAGCAGAGCGACCTCCACATACCAGATTTTTTAAATTTAATTTTAAATATCTTAACATTTTTAACTTAACTGATTTTTATTTGCTAAACATTTATTAAATAATGAGTTACTTTTAATCAAATCCAAGTTGCGTAGTTCGTTTATAAAAAATTAAATGATAAATATAGTAAAAATTATTATTATTTATGATGCGTACGTATAACATCAAAATTTACTTTTTATTATTTTAAAACCAAAAAACTAGCTATTTAAGTAAATAAAAAAGTTAGTTGTAAGTTTCCAAATCAATTTTAACTTAACTGAATTAAAAATAAAATTAGGAGAACTGTTAACTTAAAACTTTTTGAAATGTCACTTAAAAATGTTCATTAACTAGCCCAGGGTTGCAGCTATTATAATACTAAATTATTTTTAAATATAGGTACTCACATAACATATTATCTAACTCTAATTTATTGCAATAATTATTTATTTTCTTAAACACAATATTTCAGGAATTAATATATTATAAATTAATTAATAATAAAAATAATTGATTTGAACGATATATTTTATAAAATATTGAAATCAAATAAACACACTTACTAATCAGTAATGGTAACTAGTCCCTGTGTATTATGCTATTATTAAAATAAAAATGAACCAGTAGCAGAGTTCTAGTAGATAACTGACTTGTATATTGCCTAGGGAAGAAAGATGACTTTCGTAAGGTATAAATTCTTCAAAAAATGGTTAAAACACAAATTGACACATAATAACTACGTATAGGTAACATAAACCTTAAAGAGATTATTTTAGCTATATAATATCTGTAATTTCTATTAACAAATAGCTCATACGTATTTTGTTGAACATTTTACTATATAGGCTGCGTTTTTTTCAGAGATGATGGTATCCGTCAGTAAAAATTTGCCAATTTTGAGTACAATGCCATATTATGCAGTGAGTAATGTGTT